AATATGAATATATGGTTATTTAGGGTTATGGGTAGTTGGATAGAAATACAGGGGTGTGTGTGTGTGTGTGTGTACACATAAATATGTTTTCTAGCTCTGTTTGCTGGGAGGGCCTGGAGGCAATGACCCATCTCTGCAGTAGTGAATACATTAGCACCCAGATCTTTGTTTCTAAGTACTATCCTTAAATATAAAAGGAACCAGGGATTCTTGGGGAGAAGTGGGTGATTCCAGGGCTTAGGCAAGGAAATTACAAGATGAGCTCTAGAACATTTCGTGGTGCCACAAAGTAAGGAAGTACTCAAAAAATGATGAGGGCATGTGGAAAAAACACAGGAGTCAACTTTTGAGGGGATGGGGTTTCTAATCAGCAAATCTGACACAAGTTTAGAAACCAAATATAATAATGAAATATAAAATACAGAATAAAATGTTTTAGCTCATACCGAAATGAATAATTCTATATAAATTCTATAAATGAATATAAATGAATTCGTATATTTATATTTGAATTTATTTGTATTCATTTATAAATGAATTGTGATAATACAAATTGTGAATATAAATGGCAAATAAATGGAAGAAAGGGGACACTTTTTTCTTATGTAGTATTTCAGTTAGTGAATGAATTGAGGAATGATGAGTATGTCCCCACAAGGTGGTACTTAACTAATTTCCAAAGGACATTCTTCAAAGTAACTAGCCAGTACTTTTTATTTATAAGTGTCGAAGTACTGAAAATAAAAAAAGTGAGGATCTGTTCCAGATTGGAGGAGAATAAAGGGACGTGCTACCTGAACATAGTATGGGTTCTTGGATTATATTTTGGACCAGAAAAAGGACATTAGTTGGAGAGTTGGTGAAATTGGAAGAAATTATGTAGATTAATTAATAGTATTTTATCATTGTTAATTCTGTCAGTTTTTTCATGTATTTTGAAGCTCTTTTATTGTTATGTTACTGTTATGTCCTGATGTTCTTTATCATTGTGAAGATTTTTATTTTTATCTCTGGTAATAATCTTTGCCTTGAAGCCTACTTAATCTGATCTGAATCTGATCACTTCAGCTTTCTAATGCTTAGTTGTTTGCATGGTATCTTTTTCATCCTTTTATTTCAACCTTCTTGTGTGTTTATATGTAAAGTGCATCTCTTAGGGTATATTTTTGGCTCTTTTCCTAAATCTTTTCTGGACATGCCTTTTTTGTTTGGAATGTCTAGTCCATTATATTTAATTTGGCTGTCATTCTTGTATCCTTTGTATTTTGTTGTTTTTCTCTGGCTGTTTTCAAAGTTCTCTTTCCATTTGGTTTTTAAGAGTTTGTGAAGTGCCCAGGGATTGTTTTTTTTTTCTTTTGTGGTTTTCTTAGTCTTTTGGATGTGGGATTTGTTATCTTTCATCAGTTCTGGAAAGCTCTCAGCCGTTCTATCTTTACTGCCCCATTCTCTCTCCCTTCTTCTTGGACTCCAGTTACATGTATGGTAGACTGTTACTGTCTCATTTATCTTTGGATGGCTTTTATTTTTAAGTTTCCAGTCTGCTATTCAATCTATCCAGTGATTTATTTTTTAAATTTCAGATATTTTTCAGTTTTAGAATTTTTGGGTTTCTTTCCATGCTCTAATTTCTTACCCATTCACTCATTATGGTTCTCTTTTTCTTACTATTTTTGAATTGTTAAAATGGCTGCCTTAAAATTATTTACAAATTTCATCATCTAATTTCATGGTTTATTTTCATTAATTCCCTTTTCTTTTGAATGTGAGTAAAATCTTCCTCATTCTTTATAAGTCTGGTAATTTTATCCTGGCTGTCATGAATAATACATTGTGGAGTGACTTTGTTATATTTTTCTGAAGATTGATCTTTTTTGTTTTACATAAACCAGTTAATTCTGCTCAAGGCACACTCTAAATGTGGACACCCCTGTAGCTGACAGTGGCTGAAATCTCTCTCTGGTTCTTTTAGGCTCCTGGACATCTGCCGTGTACATGCATAGTTCAGCAGTCAACAAGAGATTTAGGCAGAGTTTAATTGCAGAATTTGGTGCTCTCTTTCTTTCACTCTCTCCTCCCTGGGATTTCTCCCCTCACTTCTAGCCCTTGTGATAGCTTCAAAATGTGTCCTCTGATTCTTCAGGCTAGTGAGATTGCTCATTTCTTTTGCATTCTAGCCAACCAGGCACCAGTTAAGGCCTGCTCTGCTCTCAGGTGAAAATCCTAGTAAAAGGGGTAACTCATCCAGTGCCATTGCCTTTTCTTAGGGGTGGTTTTAGCCTGATTTGGTTTCTCCCTAGGCTTTCTGATAGTTTTTTTTTTTTTTTTTTAAGATTTTATTTATTTATTTGACAGAGAGAGATAGCAAGAGAGGGAACACAAGCAGGGGGAGTGGGAGAGGGAGAAGCAGGCTTCCTGCTGAGCAGGGAGCCCGATGCGGTACTCAATCCCAGGACCCTGGGATCATGACCTGAGCCGAAGGTAGACACTTAACGACTGAGCCACCCAGGCACCCTAGGCTTTCTGATAGTTGACTTATATTTTATCTGTAACTGAAAGTTCCTGTGGAACAGCTACTCCAACATTATCAGAAGCAACGCTTTTTACTAAACACCTTTAAACTCATGTTGCTTTTCATACGCCATATGTAATTGCTGCTTACTGTTCTAGTATAAGCATCCATCATATTTTATGTTTTCACTCCCTAGTGACATAGACCTAGGTTGACCCCAGTTCCTGATACTGTAAACAGTACCATTTTAGAACATTACCCGTGGAAAGGTTTCTTTGGCATCTGTGTTCCCAAGAGTGAGCTTTGCTGGATTGTAGTGCGTTTGCATACCTGATTTCATGAATGATTCCCCTTCCAGCAGGGCATGAGTGATTTTCTTTACTCACATCCCCAAAAGACTTGGATTACTCAACTTTCTTGTTTTGCCAATCTGATGGGTAGGTGGTGGTATCTCATTTAAACTTGTATTTTCTGATTTCTAGAGATAAACACTTGCTCACATGTTTTTCACCTTTTATGTGTTGGTTTTTGTGTCCATTGCCTATTTTTCTGCTTTGTGTTTCAAATCAGATCTTTACTTTTCCTTATGATTTGTATTGTTTTTGGCCATGTCAAAGAAATTCATTCCCATCTCAAGGGAATATTCTCCTTTTTTTTTTTTTAGATTTTATTTATTTATTTGCTAGAGAGAGCATAGGCGAGAGAGAGTGAGTGAGAGCACAAGCAGGGGGAACTGCAGGCAGAGGGAGAAGCAGGCTCCCTGCTAAGCAAGGAGCCCGATGCGGGACTCAATCCCAGGACCCTGGGATCATGACCTGAGCTGAAGGCAGCCGCTTAACCAACTGAGCCACCCAGGCATCCTCTCCTACATTTTTTCTCTCATATGCTTCCCTGCCTGTGTATGATAAGAAGTAGAAATCCAAGTTTATGTTTCTCAGTGTGATGCAACCAGTTTTTCAAGTATGTTGTCTTTTTATTATTATTATTATTACTTGTGTTTGGAAGTATGTTTTAGCATATCATTTGAAGGAATTGAGTTGGATAATTTGGTCCTTACCTTGTATTAATTGTCTAAACTTTTTGGGATCAGATTAATAGTTAGGGGGAACTAATTTAACTGATGAGTAAAAGTTTATGTAGTAACTTCTGTTAATCTTAATGGCCAGTTCTTTCAGATCTTTACTGTGTTCACATACTGTATTCAAGTAGCACCTTATTTGTTTCTCTAGCTCTTAGCTTATCTCATTTGATCCTTAGAACAACTCCAGATAGAAAGATTGGGTATTAGCTCTGTTTTATGGATGTTGAATCGTAGTTTTAGTCATTTGCCTGAGGATCCTATAGCTAGTTTTGTATATGTACCTATGGTTTTTTTTTTTAATTTTTATTTATTTTTATAAGATTTTATTTGAGAGAGAGAGGGTGAGTGAGAGGGAGAGAGAGCACAAGCCAGCTGGGGTGGGGGGGGAGGCAGAGGGAGAGGGAGAAGCAGACTCCTTGCTGAGCAAGGAGCCCAGGGTGGGACTCGATCCCAGAACTCTGGGATCATGACCTGAGCCAAAGGCAGACAACCAACTGAGCCACCCAGGCGCTCCCCTACCAATTTTTTTTTTTTTTTGAGAAGAATTTGTTTGCTCAGGCAGCTATGGACTATTGCTGATAATGAATAAAAGCCACTTCAATCCATTGTTCTGCTGAGTATGTTTTAAAGGTAATATTTAGGAGGTTTTCTTTTGATGACTTACCCTTTTCCCCCCTTCCCCTTTTTCTTGGAGGAGCTGCCTGAAGCTTTATAACTGTAGCAATAATGGGTTTCTGTCACTTGGGGGAGGGGACTTTGGGTAAATGGTTTCATTTAGAGATTTGCCTATGGAACCTTAAGTGTTGTGAACGCTGTTACTCTGTAAGTACAGGAGGTTTGGTATCTTTAAAGTCATACATATTATAAATTTTTTCCATAGGATATATACCAGTACCTTTAAACTTAGATTTTAACTAATTTTGCACTTAGATTTTTAAAAACATTTTTGGTGTATACTCCGTTGTTTATATTAAGTTGCTTGGGAACTGGGTGTTTCTAGGTACAGAGATTATGCACTTGGAGGTAGAATATTTCTCTAGCTTCATCAGTGTTACATAATAAAGATGAAATTATTTGTTATTAAATAAGTTGAGATGATTTTAACAATTGAGATTTGGCAAATTCTTAAAAGGGCATATTTTAATACTTTATTGTATTGAATGTTTACTGGTATTAGTTACTCTGAAACATGGACCTATTATCCACAACGGTCTAGTGTTAAAGGAACATTCCGTAAGGAATTAGCACTTTCTTCTTTCAGTTGGCTGTAAGAAATACGCTGAAGTATCAGGATTATATAGTAAATCTTTTTTCTTTTTTAGTATTATGTAGTAAATCTTAATATATGAGCTAATTCTTCAAAGATACCAATTTTATTTTTCTTTAAATCTCTTTTTTTCTGCTTTTTAGAGGAAGTATCATTCTGCAAAGGAAGCTTATGAACAACTTTTGCAGACGGAAAACCTTTCTGCACAAGTAAAGGCAACTGTCTTACAACAGTTAGGTATGTAATAGTGTACATTTAGTGTATTATAAGTATTTCTCTTTATGATTTTTACATGTCAGGGATGGCACATATGTGGCTCATGTATTCTGTTCTTTTTCCTTCTTCTACCCAGACTTGATAGAATTAATCTGAATCGAGAATATTTCCACCTTTTGCCAAGCATTGTCCATCTCATTTCAGTTCTTCAGTGTAGCTAGTCCTTTTAAATTCTCAGAATTATTCTCTAGTACTTAACCTATGGGTGAAGGGGGTTGAATACTTCCTTTGTGCCAGATACGCTTAGCACTGAATGAAGTTAAATGATTTGTCTAAAGTCACTTGGTGGTTGGTGAGCTTGCTTTCATAGCTCTGTCAATAATATTAACTAAAACATTTCATCTAAAAGTTGTGGAACATCTAACAGTAGAGTGTTTTTGTACCCATGCAATATTCTAGTCTAATGTTAAAAGATGAAGAAACATAGCCATTTGGATGTAATATGTCACTGTGACCAAGAAGATAGTGATTGAGTTCCTTACATTTTGTTTTGTTGTGTAGTTATTGAGTCATGTTTCTTGTATGTATGTGTTATTTGGGTTTTTCCCCCCAGCTTTTGTTTATTTGTTTTTGATCTGGGCAAATAATTTATTCTTTAATTTTTAACCAACGTGTAGTAATATGAGTATTTTCATAATGTGACTTTTTATATAATTTTAAAATCATTTAAGCCTAGATTTTATCACTGATCTTCATGATATTGATACCTATCATATGATTAATTATACAAAATGAGCACATTGCTTAATATAAAACTTTTGTTTTTAGCTTTGTTTTTAATTTAATCTCTGGTTAGAATTTTACTTGAGTTATCCATACTTTTAAAAAATTGTGGAAGTATTTGAATATTTTTTTAATAAGTTTACAGATCATGTTTGAGTTTTGTGAATTTGTATCTTTAAATTAAAACAAGTTTATCCCTCTCTGTCACTCCTCTGCTCACATGCGCACAGTCTCTCTCTCAAATAAATAAATGAAATCTTAAAAAAAATTTAAAACAGGCTTACTAGTACAGTAAAGAAAGGTTTTGTGTTCTTAAGTAAAAAGAACAAAGTGGTGCCTTTAGCATAAGGCAGCTTACTCATTCAGCTAATTTATGCATTTTAGCTGCAGTGAAGAGTATGTCAAGTAGCAAAAATGCATACACCTTTTAAATTTAGGAAATAGATTGAAATAATTTTGGATTATGTCTGAATCACCTGTCGTCTTTGGCATTGGCTTACCATATTTCAGAGTGTGTAAGTATAATAAACCTTTCATGCTTTTGAACAGAAAAATACTTCTCCTAATTAAGTCTGACTTATGCCTGCACATCAGTCCTTCCTACTTGCTTGTCATGGCTGCTTAAGCAGCTCCTTTTAGAGCTTGTTTTTCTAGGTTCCATTCTTACTAGTAATAGGGGCTAATGGAGGAACAGATGAATAAATGTAAATGTGTGATTGATGTGTATTTCCATAAAATATAGTAACTCAATCTCCTTGAAATATCTTTTGGAGCACAGCAAGTATAATAAATATCAGAAAATAAGGGTCCTTATTTGTTTTATATAATATGGACTATATACAAAGAACAGAGCTGATTTTATGCACTTGAATCGATCCACAGCTGAAATACTATTTCCCCAGCAAATTAAACCAAATTATTCCTGTGTGTCTTAAAGGTTTTAGAATACATTATTCCATGATCCAATCTTTTGATTGCTTACATAGCCCTTTCCTTTCCGTTCCGTTCCGTTCCATTCCTCTTCCCTATCCTATCCTGTCCTATCCTGTCCTATAAAAATTGTGCATATTTAAGGTGTACAACTGTTTTGATATACCTATACATAGTGAAATGAATAGTATTGTCAAGCTAAGCAACAGATCCATCTCCTCACATAGTTACCATTTGTTTGTGTGTGGTCGGAGCACCCAAAACCTACTCTCAGTAAATTTCCAGTATATATTACAATATTATTAAGTATAGTCATTCTGTTGTGCATTACTCTCTAGACTTACTCATCCTACATAACTGCAACTTTGTACCCTTAGACCAGTATCTCCCCATTTCCCCTACCTCCCCATTCCTGGTAATCACCATTCTAATATCTGCTTCTATGTATTCAGCTTTTTGAGATTCTACATACAATTGAGATTATGCAGTATTGTGCACTAAATTTAGTTATTAAACGTTTGTGGTACGCATTTTATACCATTTTTATTTATGCCATTTGAATATTTTTTAAATAATTGTCGAATGCTTTATAGTTTTTATTTTAGATAAGTTGTGAACATATGTGGACAATGCCAGTGAGGTAGGGTTATATGTGTGTGTTGTACTCTGAGCTATCATTGATTTAAATAGTCTTAATATTTATTCCTTGGAAATAAACATTGGGTTAATAGACTGTCTTGGAGAGTCCTAAAATGTACATAAAGTTTTACATAGAGCACTGAGTAAAATTGAACATCTTTATATGCTTTGTTTCATAACTTGGAATTTTTTCAAATACCAAAATTAGAAAAGAGGAACTATAGTTTGTAATCTACTAAGTGTTAAATCAGTGCTTAATATCGTTTCACTTTCTCTGGAATAAAGTTCTTTATAGGTTTGACTGTACCTTCCTGTGAGAAACAGACTTCCTTATAATCTGAATTGGCAGTTCTAAATTTGGGGAATGTATATGCCAAACTAAATGAATAAGTTGACTGAAAAAAGAATATTTTTACTTAAGTGTTTTCTGCTTGGTATTCTTAAAAACTGAAGAACAATTAAGTCATTTAGTAAATACTTTTTAATCATTTACTATAGGTTGGATGCATCACACTGTGGACCTTCTGGGAGATAAAGCCACCAAGGAAAGCTATGCTATTCAGTATCTCCAGAAGTCCTTGGAAGCAGATCCTAATTCTGGCCAGTCCTGGTATTTCCTTGGAAGGTGAGACTGTACTTAAGTTTTGCTTTTGTTTATTCCACCTAAGAGATTTGAATTATGAGCTAAAACGTTTGTTTACATTTATAAGCTGATCAGTGAATTTTCCTTTTTAAATATATTATCACACAGATTTCTGGGAGTTAAAGAAAACTTCTGAATGTGGTAGTTTCCTCACAGCATAGTCTGCTCTACTGGGACATTTCTCATTTTGCTTGTTGGATTTTCATTTGACGTGAATTATTGCTGGTTTTTAAAAGTCTTTTCACATAGTAGTTCTTCATTCTAGTGTTTAAATGCCCTTCTCATTTCCAGTATTTTCTTTATATGTCTATTTAACAGAACAGAATTAATTTCTTATTCTGCCTAGTGACCACCAGTAGCCAATGGGACCTTGCTGTTTGTGATTTGGAATAATGATACATACATTAGAATGGACATAAATTTGATTAATAGTAGGTCTCAAATCAATTCTACTTGACATCTCACAGTGAGAAAGTGGATACATTATTAGTGGACTTGTTGGAAAGGAGAAAGTGACATATAATGAAAATAGTTTTCTGCAAGTCTATAAACTTTTCTCTGTACTTTAAATGCCAAAATTGTGCTTACTGATTATCTGAAATATATCTTTTGTATATGTACCTGATAGATTATATTTTGGGGCCATTATTAGATTGTATTTTGTTTCCTAACTGGTTTTATCTCTTGTGGTATGGTGGAAAGATCAGTGTACTAGGAGTTGAGAGACTTGGATTCAAGTCTTGGTTAGGCTACTATATGTGGAATCATGGATGGCGCAGTTAAACTTTTTGATGCTTCAATTTTCTTTTAACCTATTAAATAAGAGGATTATGTTAGATCGTTGGTTTTCATAGGGGACTATTTTGTCCCATAGGGGACATTTTATAATGTGTGGAAATACTTGGTTATCACAACTATGGGGAATGCTACAGGCATCTAGTGGGACAGCTCTCTAGGACAAAAAATTACCTGACCCAAAATGTCAGTAGTGCTGAGGTTGAGAAACCTTGCTTATAGATTATCTGTTAGGTACCTTCTTACCCTGAAGGTTTCAATTTTATGATTTCTTTTGAAATTATCCTGTTTTGTTTTAATTTTAAGCTCTTTGAGTTTTCCATAAATCACATTAAGTTTTAGTATTTTGTATGATTTCATTTTTCCTTTAAATTTAGCAAAGTGTTTCTATGAGATGGAGTAATACTAAGATTTTTTTTAAATTTTTTTGATTAGTCATTAATAATGTACAATAAGAGTTGGTTGGGAAAGTACCTATTTTTAGCAGAAATTTTCTAATACCTTCCAAGGCTTTATAAAATAATCTGATTTGGGTTGCTCACTAGTAAAGCTTAAGAGTCCAGACTTTGTCTTTCTCTTTCACTGAAGATATTTGGGAGCAGAAACTGGATCTTTTACCATCTTTGTATATTCTCGCCTAGCAAAGTGGCTATTCAATAAATGGAATAAATGAACTGACTGAACACTGTTTGTGTTTAAAGCTAGCCCCATTGCTAGTGTTAGTGTTGCACAGTGGGAGGCTTCGTACAGGGACTGGAAAGGAGGTCCAGCACTGGAAAGTAGGGGCTGCCTAGTCATCGCCTCTAGTGTTAACATTATATATGAAAATTTAAAAAATTAAAATAAATATTTTAAATATTATAAATATTAAATATTTATAATATTAATTAAATATTTTAAATATTAAAATAAATTTAAAAATTTATTTTAATATAGGTTAAAAGGCATGTGTACCAGACATTATTTTCTTTTTGACCTAAAATAAAGATTAGTAGTTTAATACAATACAGTAGTGTTGATGTCTTTTTAGTATACTTAAAAAAAAATTCTAGGCATTTAAACATCTAAAATTACTATTTTAGTAATGCTGTAATTTTCAGCTCAGTGAGTATTCCACAGGAGGGTTTTTTTTTTTTTTTTAATTTTAGCCTAACTTTACATTTTAAGCCACTGAGATGCTTTTATTTGAATCTTTTCAGATAAAATTTTCCAAATATACAACATGCTTTACGATTTCTCAAATAAAGGATACTTACCTCAGTTTAATTTGTTTTGGAATTCAACATTATCATGTTAGATGTTCATTTTTTTATCCGTAATAACGTAATTCGACGATTGTTTTAGACTTTTTTCATTGATGTTTACTTTTTTTTGACCTCCTTTCACTGCCTTCTGATGTGTTGCTTCTAATCCTTTTTGTTGTGAGAAAATTTTTATAAATAATATATATTTTAAAAGTTATTAAAGCTCTGAATGGAGACCTCAAGTGTCAGTAAGCAACTTTGGGATTTGATGACCCTAATATTTCTAAGGCTTTTTATTACTTACCTTTGCATTCAGGTCTGTGTTGAAGATGTCATTTGGCATGTGTGTATCATAATACAGGGGTGGTGTGGTAATCCTCTTATACTGGTACTGATCACTGACATTGTTAGCACAGAACTATAGAATGTTAGAGCTGGGAGGGACCAGGGAGGTCACCTGCTTCACTCTGTAAACCCTGTCATTTTACAGATACAGAAAGTGAGTTCAGAGGAGGAAAATGTTTTGTCTGAGGTCATAGTCACACAGGTAACTAAATCAGAACAGGAACTAGAGCCTAGGTTCACTTATTGCTTTTTCAGAGACACAAGACTGTCTCAGGGGAACTTAGTTTTATTAGAGGAAAAGTGGTTGGTGGTTGGACTGGGACGTCTGCATTTGGGCACATTGGTTTCCTACTTTGACTTTGTAGGAATGGAATGTGAAAACATTGGTTGGGGAATTACTGCTTATTCCCTCAGTGGTTAGGTAAATTTGTCTATAAATCTGAGATTTGGCTTTGATTTAACAACAACAAACAGGATGTGTTTTCTACTATTTGTGAAGCATTCCCTTCCTTTGTGGTATCTGTCCCTGTTTGGCATTGTCCTGAATTCTCCCTTCATAAAAGTTTGCAGGCGCGCTCTGCCACGGCCCTCTCTGTCTCAGTCACTGACATTTCTTATTGCCCAATCCATAAGATTAGTGATTCCTTAGGCTTATTTTCACCTCTCCCTTGTAGTCGTCCTATGTTCTTAAACCCTCTCTTCTATGTGGATGAATTCCAAATCTAGATCTCTATATTTCAAGTTATTAAATTTCAGGACCACATCTCTTATTCTTGACCTAACATTATCCATTTTAGTGTTCTCACCTCACATCAAAGTAAGCATATTTCAAACCTCATATTCTTTTCCAAACCATCTCCTCCTTTTAGTTTTGCCAATGAGGTCACTTTTTATTTATTTATTTTTTTAAACACTATTTGCTCAGGCTTAAATCTAAGTTATCCCCCCCCCCACCATGGATATCTAATAAGTTGGTCACAAAGTCTTTATCTGTCCTTTTGGTTTACTATTTCTCCCTTCTTTTCCTTTCTTGCCATTTTCATTACTTTTACCCCAGTTTTGGCCTGTTCCAAGCCAGTGAGTATAGCTGCCTTCTTTTTTACTGTCCAGAATTTATTTTCCTTTCAGTTTATCCCTACACATTGTTAGCAGATTAATATTCCTATAAAGTGCTTTCGTGGTGCCATTTCTCTTGTTAGAAGACCAAAAACTTCAGGTTATCCTTGGGCTGGATTTATAATTCTCTATTCTTTGTATCCGTGCTGTCTTCTATACATTAGGTTTTGCTCATACTGTTCAAACAACATTTTGAAATGCCTTCTCTCATCTCCATCTGAATCAGTGGTTCCCAGACTTTTGGATTACATGAATCAGTAAAATTTCAATTGGGCACATAAAAACATTTAGGATTTTTTGCTGTTGGGGCACCTGGGTGGCTCAGTCGTTAAGCGTCTGCCTTCTGCTTAGGTCTTGGTCCCAGGGTCCTGGGATCGAGCCCCGCATTGGGCTCCCTGCTCCGCGGGAAGCCTGCTTCTCCCTCTCCCACTCCTTCTGCTTGTGTTCCTTCTCTTGCTGTCTCTCTCTCTCTGTCAAATAAATAAATAAAAATCTTTAAAAAAAGAATTTTTTTTTGCGGTTTACTCAGCCAGTTGTATTTCAAAATAAGTCGGTTGCAATGTAAGTATTAGTTTAATGGAAAGTTTATGTAAGTATATGTTATCTTTCCATTTTATTTTCATGGCCAAATTGCCATATATTGGCTGATAATTGATAACACTGATCTAAACTATATGCATCTATACATACTCAAATTCCTTCGTGTTACCCTTCCCTTTCTTGCTTTTCCTAAATCCTGTAGTGTGTATTGTGGTGTCTTCTACCCTAAATTCTCAGAACAGTTCTTGTCTCTGTCAGCCATATGATAACGGCATCATGACATTTGCAATGTGTCTTCAGTCCTCAACTAAACTGTAAGCTCCTTGAAGGCAGGGACTGGGTTCTGTTTTTTCTTTTTTCCTTAGTGCCAAGCACTTAGAAGATAATTTCTATAGTTTCAGCTGCTGCTCTGTGTTTCCATCTGGTACGTCTGCATTAAGAAAATGACAGGTCCTTGAAACTTTAATCATACCTTGCTACCCTTACATGTCGTGAAATATTGCACTCACCTTATTTTTACTGTTTTTGGTAGTTAGCTTGATTTTACCTGCATCTTAATGTTTGTATTTTTTACGAATTACAGAATGATTGAGCTCATGGTTATTATTTAGGAAAGGAGAACTGAAATCGATTCAGCAAGTCTTACCAGCATAGGGTGGTTTTCTTGGTTTTTAACTCTGTGTTCTTACTGAATGTAAGCTATATAAATAGATCAAGCTATTTAAGTGGAATGGCACGTGTGCGTGTGTGTGCACGTGTGCACTTTTCACTCTATATGATATTGAAGTAATATGGACTAATTATTTTAATATTGTTCATTAATGCAGCATGCTTTAGCACTTATCAGATAAACTACAATATAGTTCACTGAATGGTTAATTATAATGTACATTATAATTTTATATATATATATATATATATATATATATACACATACATTCACAGAAATATGTAAGCTTATTAGGATTTTTTATTTGCCTTGAGGTTTTTCAGAAAATTAATCAGTATTAATGGAATTTTCTGGATTTTTTTTTTCCCTCCCCTCTCAGGTGCTATTCAAGTATTGGGAAAGTTCAGGATGCCTTTATATCTTACAGGCAGTCTATTGATAAATCAGAAGCAAGTGCAGATACATGGTGTTCAATAGGGTAAGACGTTATATAAAAATAATGGTCTTATACTTGATATACAACTGTTGCATAACGTGTAATGTACTTAGTAGTTAATATCACTTGAGAAGCTAAGTAGTTTTCTTAGTTGACCTATTTTTTTTCTGACTTTCTCTTTCTAGCGTGCTATATCAGCAGCAAAATCAGCCTATGGATGCTTTACAGGCTTACATTTGTGCTGTACAATTGGACCATGGTCATGCTGCAGCCTGGATGGACCTAGGCACACTCTACGAATCCTGCAACCAGCCTCAGGATGCCATTAAATGCTACTTAAATGCAACCAGAAGCAAAAGTTGTAGTAATACCTCTGCACTTGCAGCACGAATTAAGTATTTACAGGTAAAACTTTTAAATAGCAGTTTTTTAAAGGCACATGTTTCCCCATGACACTCAGGCAGGAGGCGGGTGGCTGGAAAGTTTGTCTAGTTGTGTTTTGATGTCTATAATTTGTTTCCATATTTTGTAAACATACCATAGCTTGTAATATTATTTTACTTTTCATTTTAAGTAAGATATGTAGTATTTAAAAGATGCTCTTTTGCACATTTACTGTTGATGCATATTAATTTACATAATTTTTTTCTATGTGCTGTCTACATTTTTAAGTTGTCATAGCATTTTAGAGAAAAGAACACAAACACTGTCTTTCACTCTTGCTTGGAGTTTCATGAGAAGACAGCTATGAGAACTCTGATAACAGAGCTCAGCTTTGTTTTAATTCTCACAAAGGTTTATATTCTGGTTACCCTCTTTATACTTTTAGTATCTTTCTGAAACCCCAAATTAAGAATCTATTTTCTTTTAAAAACAATTAGTTATAGCATTTAGGAAGATTTAGTGGACTTGCTCTTACTCAAGTAGGCTTGTGTTAAATTTGCTTTTTACATAATTTTTCCTAGGCTCAGTTGTGTAACCTTCCACAAGGTAGTCTACAGAATAAAACTAAATTACTTCCTAGTATTGAGGAGGCGTGGAGCCTACCAATCCCCGCAGAGCTTACCTCCAGGCAGGGTGCCATGAACACAGCACAGCAGGTGAGAAGTTGGGTTATGTTCTGCAGGTGCCCAGCTTTAAGGGTTCTTTTCAATCTGTAGTGGTCAAGCGTATTTTACTAAGTACAGGAGGCTTTTACTAATGAAAAGCCTTTTGCTGTAATTGCAAAGGGAATCTAGATCAAAATAAAACTCCCTCTGATATGGGAAGAAATTTTGGGGTGCCAATTTAGAACCTTTGTGCATTTTCATGATTTTGAAGGAGATTTCTTAATGCTGCAGTGGTTTGTTTAATTTTTAAAGCAGTTTTTCAAAGGAAGGTACACATTCCTCCATTGATGATTCATTTGATTTTGATTTTCAATAATTGCAATCAGCGATGTCCACATAGCTTTGAAAATATGCAGTTTGTAAAGTTTTATAATTTGAAGGAATGAACTAAGAATATATAGAACCCTATTTTTGTCTTCCTTCTGTGATTCTTAGGCATGTAAACCTCATCATCCAAATACTGAACCTGTAGTAGGCCTCAGTCAAACACCAATTTCACAGCAATCCTTGCCACTACACATGATTCCTTCTAGCCAAGTAGATGACCTGTCCAGTCCTGCCAAGAGGAAAAGAACATCTAGTCCAACAAAGGTATATGTTTTAGAGAAATAGAAAAATCCCAGTCAAAAAGGAAACTCCCAACTGCCCTGAACTTGTGCAGTTTTGACTGTCTCCTGTCCTTTATATTAAATCTGTGGACATCAAAGAGTGAAAGGTTTGAGTTTTTCTATCCCAAATTCTTAGCATCATATTAAATATAGAAAGTAGGGATAAATTTGCATTCATCAAATCATTTTATTCATCTCCCTGCCGTTAAGATCTCAACACACTTTTCATCATCACTTTCTCCTGACATTGAGATAAATTTATTGTTGGATCTAGTGGACAGTGTGGTATTTAGGTTAGCCATTTGGGCCATAGTTTAGGGGTGGGCCTTTTTGGGTGGCTTATTAAAGAATCAATATTTTTGTTTTAAATTTATGATTTCCCAAATTTATTATGCATGTAAAATTATTTTTAAAAGAATTTAATGTCATAACATTTTTTAAATGTAATATTCCAATTCATAGTCATTTGGCCTTCATTAGTCATTATTGTTAACTCCATGGATTTAACCAAATATTCTTTAATTTTTTTTTTTTTTTATCAATTTTCCTCAGAATACTTCTGATAATTGGAGTAGTGGCCATGCAGTGTCACATCCTCCAGTACAGCAACAAGCTCATTCGTGGTGTTTGACACCACAGAAATTACAGGTATGTAAGATACGCTTTTGACAGATTGTTTTTCCTCTTGAAAAAGAGTACAAGCGGTAAACTTTAAATTTTTAAGTATTCTTAACGTTGAGTGGCAGTAAATCCAGTTAATATGCACATAAGCAAAATGAACCCACTTTTATCAGAGTAATGGGATAATTTATTCTTGATTTTTTTCACTTATTTTTAGTTTTATTTTTAAACAGGCAATATATTCACATGCTTCAAACTGCATCAGTATGGTTATAGGCTATATAAAGTAAATTCTCCTTCCAGTTCCTGCTCCTACCCACTTAGTTCTCCTTCTAACAGCCAGTCCGTGGTACTAGTTCACCTACCTTTCCTGAGATGGCATGCATGTACAAGCAAATATGCATCCTCCTTCGCTCTCATGTTATTTTTCTCCTTTTTTACACAAATGGTAGAATGCTATATATATTGTTAATAATGTATTTTTACAGACTTTTCCATGTCAGTACGTAAAGAGCTGCTTTGTTCTTTTATGGCTACGGCATATTTATTTATGTAGATGTCACACGTTTATTTAAGCAGAGCACTAGGTTTGGATAGTCAGGCTGTCTTTAGACTTTTTCTATTCCAAACAGTCCTGCTTTGAGTGTACTTGACATGATGCATTTTTAAGCTTAAAGAACTTTCATTCTGTGTGAATACCAAAAAATACTGTATTGGCAAGTAAAATTTTATGCCCATTTGTCTCAGATATCACATTATAGTAAACCTCTTTAGATGAGTGTTTATTTCTTACTCTCTGAAACTTTTTAAAGGGCTTCATCTTGGGGTTGATTGCTGTTGATCAGGAATCCGTATCTTTGACTAGATAGCGTTTCTGAGTTGGTGTAGTCATTTCAGGACAAGGTTGCTTAGGATAGTGAGCTTGAGCTGGTTTCTTAGATATGCCTTTGACTGTATTCTCCTTTCTTCTTCTTCTAGCACTTGGAACAGCTCCGTGCAAATAGAAATAACTTAAATCCAGCACAGAAACTGATGCTGGAACAGCTGGAAAGTCAGTTTGTCTTAATGCAGCAACACCAAGTGTGTATAGCATTTTTTTCCCCTAAAATTTGTTAGCATTTTGAGTATTTTTCTTGACTAAAACATCCTTTTAGAGCATGTTCATGCCCACTTCTTTCTGCCAGTATTTGGTGGAATTTAGTAATCTTGCTTCTTAAAATACTAATAATGGACAGAGATTTTTAGATAAAAATAGCTGTAAATTTAATTTTGAGCACAAGAGTTGGTATTTTGTTACTTATTTACATGCCATTTTGCCTGTGTTCTAAGGGTTTATTTATATTATTTAATACTTAACAAGCTATCCTAAACTGAGGTGAGGTTCTTTTCTTCAGGACTTGTTTAGTTTGGAAGATCTGGCATATAAATAAAATAGAATGAAAATTTGAGATCCCTTGTTTTCAGCTTGGGGAAAAGACCTATAAATTCCAGTTTTCATAATTTTCAGCTGCTTTCTTTTGTCATTACTGAAGGGATATTTCTCAAAACACTTTTCTGCTTTTCTGAGGGAGCTAATCTAAATACGAATAAACACAGTTTCTTGTTTTTAAAAAGTGTGTATTTTTCAACCTAGAGAAATTAAATGTTAGAGAAAATCAGAGATTACCTGGTCGCACACCTTCATATTCTGGTTCTCTCCCTTTTGGGCCACACAAGCAGCATTTATTTTTCATTTGCTTTTTGACAGATGAGACAAACGGGAGTTGCACAGGTACGAGCTACTGGAATTCCTAATGGGCCAACAGCTGACTCATCACTGCCTACAAACTCAGTCTCTGGCCAGCAGCCCCAGCTTGCTCTGACCAGAGTGCCTAGCGTCTCTCAGCCTGGAGTCCGCCCTGCCTGCCCTGGGCAGCCTTTGGCCAACGGACCCTTTTCTACAGGCCATGTTCCCTGTAGCACATCAAGAACGCTGGGGAGTACAGACACTATTTTGATAGGCAATAATCACATAACAGGAAGTGGAAGTAATGGAAACGTGCCTTACCTGCAGCGAAACGCACTCACTCTACCTCATAACCGCACAAACCTGACCAGCAGCGCAGAGGAGCCGTGGAAAAACCAACTATCTAACTCCACTCAGGTAATAGAAGGACTAGCTGCATTTGTTGGCTCCTCATATAATAGTTGTCTTTATTTGGTTTTACGCATTTTGAGAGGAAAAAGAAGTTTGAGGAATGTTTTTATAAGCATTTTATAGTACTATAATTTTTTTTAAAAGATTTTATTTATTTATTTGAGAGAGAGAGAGACAATGAGATAGAGAGAAAGCATATGAGATGGGGGGAGGGTCAGAGGGAGAAGCAGACTCCCTGCCGAGCAGGGAGCCCGATGTGGGACTCGATCCAGGGACTCCAGGATCATGACCTGAGCCGAAGGCAGTCGCTTAACCAACTGAGCCACCCAGGCGCCCATATAGTACTATAATGTTATTAACTACATTTTGACTCCCTACACACACACACACACACACACACACACACACACACACACACACACTCGAGTATATTTTCTTTTCCATTACAAAATTCTCCCCACACATGCACGCATGGGCACACCCACACAATCTTGGAACTTTCCAAGGAAGAAAACAGATCATACAGTCCCCCAAAACTTTGTTAATTTACAATGGCATAAACATTTATGTAATGGTACTTAGTTCATTTCTACATATATTGCCTACTTAAGATCAGGTGCTTATGCTAAGTTTTAGGTATTCACTGTGGTGGGCGAAAAAGACCATTAAAGAAGCAGTTACCATAAATTACTATGAAACATGACTTTGGTGAAAAGTGCTGCCAGAGTACCTAGGAGGGCACATAAACTAAGATGTTAAGAGTCTCCAGAAATTGGAGAATTTGGGAGGGGAGAGAGCTGCTGGTAAAATGTGCCTAGAGTATAGATTATGAAGAGGGAAGGGTGAAATATCAGGCTGAGGAAGGTAGAAAAAGTTGCCTAATTTGTCTTTAAGGCAAAGTGGAGCCACTGAAGTTTTCAAAACAATAATGGATTTCATGGACATTATTTCTGCCAAAGATACGTGCCATATTTTACTCAGTTCACTGTTAGATACAATTTCTAAGTTTTTACTTCTAAATATTTATGCACATAGTTTTTCCTGTGTTTTGGATTGTTTCTGTGGAACGGATGTTTCAAAGTGGAACTGAAAGGTCAAAGAGTAAGCATCTAAAAAAAAGTTGCCAACAGACATTGCCAAATGATTTGTGCTTTTAGTAGTCTACTATAAGAAATATTTGACTTACTGCTGGTTAGCCTTTTATTATTGGTCAAACCAAGATAAGTTCTTTTTCTAAGACAGAATTCTAAGTTTATTCTTAAAGTACTGCTGTTGGTGGGACCATCTCTTCTAGAATGATTAGTAGTTTTATTTATCCTTAAATTTTGAGCACCTACTGTGTCCATGTCTTAATTGAGGCTCTGGGGATAAATCCGCAAACACACGAAAATGTCTTAATTCATGCAGGTAAAAAATAAATAAACAAGTAAGCATTATATATAGAACATTAGGTAACGATATGATTAGTTCTCTGGAAAAGTGTATTAGGGGAGCTGGGGAGTACTAGAGATCAGTGGTAGAGGATTCACAGTTATAAATAGGAAGGTCAGGGAAGGCTTCACTGGAAGGTGACATTTCAATAAAAACCTGAAAGAGTTACGAAAGTGAGCCTTAAAGATGAGCCTTAAAGGTATTTGTGATAAGAGTGTTCAAGCCCAGGGAGCAGCAAGGAGCAGTAGGCCCTAAGGTAGGAGTGTGTTTTGCATTTTTTGAGGCAAATCAAGGTGACAAGCATGGCTGAGCAGGCCCAGCTAAGGGTGAGAAGAAGGGAGGTAAATGTGGTCCAGCTGGAAACGGGCTGTCTGAATCATGTTCAGCCTTGTAGGCCATTATAAGGGTATTGGACTTTATTGTGCATTACATGGGAAACTGTAGGGGGTTTTTGAATGGAGGAGTAACATGATCTGAACTTAGTTTTTAACTAGATCCTCTCTGGTACTCTGGGTAGACTAAAGGAGGCAAAGGTAGAAATGATGTGACCGATTTGGAGGTTATTGCTGCAAGCCAGGTTAAGAGATGGTGGTGGCTAGACCCAGAATGGCCGCAGTAGAAATGATCAGCTTTTAGGTTCATTTGGAAGGTAGAACTGATGGGATTAGCTGATAGAGTGGGGTGTGAAAGAGAGGAGTCCAAGCTAGCCTGACCCACTTCAAGGGATGGATGAGTCTGGGTGAGCTCACCATGCCAGGGCGGGGGCGTGGGGGAGCAGTAGATGGAGGAAAGAACTCAAGACTGCAAGCCTTGAGGCATTCCAGTGTAATAGGTCAGGAAATTGAAGAACTAGCAAAAGAAGGCTAGAAGAGGAGTGACCTGTGAGGTAGTAGGAGATCCAGGAGAATGTGAGTGATGTCCTGGAAGCCAAGTGAAGAAAATCTTTCAAGGAGGAAAGCATGATCAAAGTATAAATCATATAGTGCTCATTGGCCTAGTAAGGTAAGGATTGGGAATTGACCATCTGAGGTATTTGGTGACATTCCTGGGGCCAGGAAAAACTAAGGGGGACAAGCCAAATCTACCCCATGACCACGACCTGCTTTTGTTACTGTTTCTGTTTTTACAGCCCACAAATGAAGAATGGATTTTCATTTTTAAAGCATTCTTAAAAAAAAAAAAAAAATGTGTAACAGAGACCTATATGGCCCACAAAGCCTAAAATATTTTCTGTGTGACACTTTACAGAAAACATTTGGATGAGAACAATTTCAGTGGATTGGTGGGGGCAAAGCCTAACTGTAGTTGGCTTCAACATAAAATGGAAAAAGAAAGTGAAAGCAATAAATGGTAGACAGTTCCAACACAGATACTTTAGTCATGTGGGCT